ATGGAGAAGTCGATGGGAGTCTATTGGTAATGACGCCATCGTCTTTCATGTCCCCTACAAAGGAGGCGTCGGCCGATCTATCTCCGATGGACCCAATAAGCCGAAGCAATGATCCACAGAGACTGCTTCATGAATCACGGAGGAGGAGAAAAATCGAAGAATCAATGAGGGTATCCTTCCTGAGTACGCTACCGGAAAAGGAATGGGAGAGATATCAAAGTGAATTAGAAGGCAAGACAGGGGCAACCTGGAGCCGAGTGAACTTCATGGAAAGGTCATGGGACGTGATACGACGATATGGGACGCAGTCCATAATGAAGGTGGGATTGAACCAACCCATCATGCGTGAGGTCCTGCAGAAAATAGTGAACTCCATGGAGTCGGATGTTCTGACCGAGTCAGTTACAGAAGACAGTGCCGATGATCAGCAGGTCACAAAGAAATTACCCGTTAGACGAGCCAGAAAGGGGCTGAAGCGAATAAAAGGGAAGACAGGAAGTCGAGCCGTGAACCCGAATGTGGTGAAGTCGAAAGCCAGCGCAGTGGTGGCCTCTTTAACGAGCGCAGGTCGTTCAGGCGAGAGCGGGCAAGGAGATGGTGCAACACTGACAGGGGGAGAAAAAGAGAATCTGATATCCCCTATGCTCTTGGCAGGTCTGACCACGACAGCCGTGAGATCAAAGAAAACAGCACGAACCCTGGCAGACACTAAATTAGAGATGGAGATCATCAGTCAATGTGGATCTGGAGGACTTGAAGATTACAGGCCCTCACGGACCAACATGGCAAGGTTGAAACTGGAAGGACAACTCGACGTGGTCGAGTACAGTCGAGTCACTGTGCCGGAATCGGTCCACATGGGAGATCCAGCAGGGGGTTATGTGGATATGTTGAAAGCGAGAGACTCCGCGAGGGGGCACCTGATGGCTTGGAGCGAGAAGCGAGCCATGCAGGAATATCTGAAAGAGCTTACGGAGAATGAAGAAAGCAATGGAATGAAGATAATGAACGAAGGGAACAAGTGAAGACGTGAGCAAAGAAGAAAAGAGAAGGAGAGAAAACTTGATTGTCTTTGTGTGTTAAAACTTGAACCAATCAACCAAGTTTTGATTATTGAACTTGTTAAACTTTTTGTCTTGATTCAGTTTGGTCAAACCAAAACTTTGAAAGTTGTTGCAATTGTTAAAATTGTTGAAAGAAAATTTTTGTTACACTACTTATGTATATATATAGAACATAGGTGAGTATATTTACCTATTTAAACAAGACTGAAGTTTTTAACCTGTGTAAGACACAATTTCACGACATGGTAAGTTTGGGTAAACACGCTCGAGAAGGGTGAGTGACTCAATAACTTTCCTAGCCACAGAGTTTCTTAGTTTTAATATTGAAGGGACCGCATAAATAACTGATTATACTTGGTGAGTGATCTTAAGTTAATTTTAATGGGTGCGTGGCCGTGCCACGTCCCAACTTTTTAATCACAAAGAGCGAAAAGAAGTTTTATGGCAAGACGACGGAAGTAGTCAGAAAAGAAATTTTATCTAGGACACTCCTCATGGTGCAAATTTTGTGAAAATGTTGAAAGGCAGTGAGATGTAGTACGATGCCATTTGTGAACACGTAGTGAGTTGAGGTGGAGTAGATAAATTTCATTTTCTTATGCGATTTGTAAGATTGATTACAGAGAACTGGAACACTACATGACAATAACCCGGTGTTATGCGATCAATAGGGACATTGATGGGGACTTGTCCGGGGAGTATGTGCCATTCTGCCAGATGGCACAGCGCAACCTTCCGGCGACACGAAAAAAAAACGAATAAAGGCCTTAGGAACGAAAAAGTATTGCGAAGGAGGGTAGAAATATTCTAGAATTTTTATTTTTAAAATTTCGATTAAAGAGTGAATTTTTCTGAGAAATAGAAAAAGACGGCCATTTTGACGCAGAACGACGAAGAAACAGAACAACGACAAATATTGTGGAAAACGGTCGCACAGGAGACGAAAAATACGAAGCCTCTTATCGTGGCAACAACACACGATAAGACTCTTAGCAGTGGATATTAGTGGAGAAGGAAGCTTCAGTGGGGAAGGAATATTCCACGGAACCCTCCCGTGCCACAAATTGGAAGAGATAAGAACGTTATCTCAGGAAGATTACGGGAGCGGAGGCTTGGTCCCCCAGAGTCTGTTTTATGTGAAGGGACTATATAAAGCTGACCTTGTATCTACTTGGATGTCGTAGAAGTCTGAATTAACACCGGTATAATTTGATATTTTAGAATATGAGTAGCTAGAAAGTGGAAAGGGTCAATCCATCTCCAATGGATTTAATATAGAACTGTCACACAAAAACATATTAAAAATGGTTGTTCGAGCAGTGTTTTTAATAGCAATCACGTAGTCTGAGGATCCGAGACTCCAGCTATGTGGTTGTGTTCGCATGTAAACGAAAGCTGATCAAAAGTCGTTTGACTGATGGCCTAAAAATAGTAACTTTTTACTTAGCCCTAAACAGACCAGAAAATCAACTGGCAAGGTCGAGACGGTGAAAAACGAGTAGGATTAAGGTAACTGACGCCTGCCAGTCGTTAATAGGTACTTTTTCTACGCTCCGTCGCTGTGTAGTATTTGGGCGAATGTTACATTAAATAGAGGGTAAGGCAGGCAGGAAAGGTGTTAAACAGTGTCAACAAAGCAACAAAGCAATTTTATTTTAAACTGGACAAAATCTAGAAAAACAGAAATAACGGCGTGGACAAAATCTAAAAAAAACAGAAATTCAGAATCTGGCATCGGTGTATTGAGCCTTACTTCAGTCAGTGAAGTACTCGCAAATTTACAACTAAAACACTATACTAGTCGAAATTGCTCCAAAAAAAGCAAAAATGCAGAATCCGAACAGTATGTGGAACCCACAAGCAAATAATAAAACATAATTTTAGTGAACTGAGCTGCTAGGGAACCCGCAACTGTAAGCGGAATCCGCAAATTGCAAGCAGAATCCGCTTACTTCCGAACTTGCGGAATCCACTTGCAATTTGCGGAATATGCCTACAGCTGAGGAATTCAGAACAACTAGCTATATTTGTTTGTTGAGGAATCCGCGACAAAACAATTGTGCCAATGAATTATGGGCATTTTGTATGCGGAATCTACGAAAACATTTTATATCATATTTTGCACATGAAATTCTTGCGCGCCTTGTTCATTCTATGAAATGCTTTCAATGAATTGTTTTATTTGTTAAACACTTTAAAATTATATTGAGGCGTTTTCTTTGGGTAAGTAGCTCTTCGTAAATTATAGTTTTCTTCCGTTAGATTCTGATTAACTGTAAATTTTTGTCGAGAATGTAATCATGGTTTTTAGTATGCCCACAATCATGTTCGCACTAGGGTCTACAAAGAAGAAGAGAAAACAGATTGAAAACATCGACACCAATTGATTATATTTTACTTGCAAAATGTTGCGATCAATTTAAACTGAGAGTTTTTTTGAACTAAATTTCAATATTTCTTGAGAGGATTTTATATTAGCGAATAACTCTTCTTTTCGAGAAATCTTGAAAAAAGTTACAACCTGTTCCTACATTTGAGAAGTTGGCGTAATTATGAAGCGTAGTGTCTATGTTTTGTTACAGAAATTATATTATCGTGAGCATTTAGGTGATTTGACTTTAAAAAATTTCTGCGTAGTGTGGTAACCATTGAAATTTGCAATCACGGTTTGCCAATTCATAGAGACATTTTGTGTCTACCTGGAAGTTGAGAGAAATTAGGCTGCGAAATTCTATAATTCCTAATACTCACTAGACTTCTGTTTTTGGATCGAACGATTTCAGTTTTTTGATATCATCGATTTGTGATGCGTTTGGTTAGAGACCCTTTTTAGAGACCACAAATGCTAAAAATGTTTTAGAGACGACAAAAACCAAAAATGTTTTTTAAAAACATTTTTACCTAATTGATTCAAAAATGCTATTAGGGAGAGACTATCATCACTACGTTGTTTGTGTACAAAATTCAATTTGCAGTTGAAAAAATTTGAGGCACTTTCAAAATTACTTGTTGTCACCATAAACAAAGCTAGTCTTACAGTTTCCATATATAGAAATTATATGATAAACATTTTTTTGACAAAAAATTTTTCTTCCTTATTTAGAACGCTACACCGACATTTTTGCCAAAACAAGAAAACGTTTGTTTTAAAATTCAATTCAACCATTTTAGTAATTTTTCATACTTTATTGAATTGCATGATTAGAAGTTTCGGTCTATTGAGGCCAACCATGGCAGCATAAACAGCCCAATCGTTGCACAAAACACTAAGAATGTCTTCTCAAAATTCGTTGACAAACACTACCTGCAAAATTTATCAGCATAATTGATGTGCTCTTAATTTCATTGCTCCACTTCTGTTTGTTGAAACGATATTCTACGTGCTCTTACTTCATTTTTGAATATATGGTTGGAAAAAAAAGCGAGCTAAAATTTTTAAAATTAATCTTTAAATTGGAACAACCAGACAATTCAAAATTTTTAAAATATTGATTTTTACTGCAATCACTCAAAGTTGATGTTTTTTGGTTACTACAAAAATGTAATAGAAAAAACAACATTAGTTTCAAAGTTAGTTTCAAATTTAGTTTTCTGGTCTTGAGACAATTTTTGATGCAATTATGACTAATACTCAATAACAATCGGAAACTTCATTTTTTTTTCTTCAATTTTTTGAAAAATTAATTGCGCAACAAGCAAGACAGAGCTTCAAAATGTTTGGTTATTTAAACTGAAGATTTTAGTTCGGGATTTATTCATTAGTGTAGGTCAAGGCTAAAATATGACACTATTCTTTATTGATGAAATGTCATCTCTATTTTCAACTCAGATTTCACGTTCGACTATTTAAGGTTCAACAAAGAAATGAAACACCGCTAACATAGCCATTTAATTTGGAAATTTCAGTTTTTATAAGCAACTCAAGCACACAATCAATTGTTAGAGTTTCTGTTTTTGTTCACATTTGGTGAATTTCAAGTTCTTGGTTGCTCGATTTCACAATCAGTGTATTATGCAAAGTTAATGGAAAATGATCTTCCGAATCCTGTTTCTCTGCTTTTGTCAATTTGGTGAGCACAAAATTAAAACTGATGACCCTATATTTTTTTTTCTTTCAGTGCTTTTCGCTTCGAGCCGAAATCAAATTAAAATTTTGAAAAAAAAAGAGTTTTTTTGGTTTTTCAAAACATGAGAGAGTTTTGTTTGTTTTTGTCATAAGCGGTTATCAGTTTTTCCAGCAACAAATTTCGTAGGCCAGAAATAAATTTGAACCCAATTTATGAAAAGACAACAAAAATTCGAATAGCACCGATTGGGACAATGGTTGATTGCGATAATATCGTTAATCAAGCCTTATAGCTTGTTATGTTCGCCATAAGTTATTTTTCTTTTAAAAGTGACGACAAAAAACTATTTAACAAGGCAATTGACAAGAGAACAAGATAATCAGTTATTTATCAATCTTTATAGTGCGCTTCCTAATCACAAATTTCACTGTGAAAAAAGGAGGTTAATAATTTTGTCGTCGTTAACCTCAAATTTATTACTTATAGCCATGGTAAAAAAAACTAAAATTTACAGCTGTTTCCGTCAGTATTTTTTCTAGTAATCCTAGTTTTACAGCGCAGGTTTTTGTGAGAAATATTGCCTTTTTAATTTAAGAAAATGAGAGAAATGTTTAAAAATATGTAAAAGCTACCTTTGTTCGATGAATTTCGACAAGCCTACATAGATAAAACAAGGCTGTTTTTATATCAAGGCGAACACCTGAATGTTCCGACTGCTTTTCAAAAACCCAAAAGGACTTACAATTTTTTTTTGTTAATTTAGTTAGTTGTTGACGAACTAATCAAACAAACAAAAGTTTTCTATTTATATTGTTTTCATTTTATCCCCTTCCACCCGCTATTGAAAAAAGACAAAGAGTGTGTTTAACCTCCCGTTTTGTTTGAACAGGGCTCAGATGCTAGCCTCAATTAACGACACCTGCCTATTAGCATGTGTGTCTATTAGCATGCTCACGTTAAAAAAAACATTGCTCGGAAACTCGCTGCTTCACGTTTTGCTTATTCGAAATGCAAAATCTGAACGGTCTCTACTCTGTAGATTTTAAATTGGGTAAAAAAACGAACAAGTCAAAAAAAGTTCCTCAACAAGTCAAAAGCTTTCTTAAAAATATTTGAAAATTTGTGCTAAGTTTCTATTCGTTTTAAGTAAACCCAATAAAAGCAACTATTGCATGGTAATAAGCACACATACAAAGTGATGAAGTTAGCGTCTAGAAACCTTGTTACTAATTCCAAAATATTGGTCCGACTTTTGTAACCGAATATTTGTGCTCGGGTGGATTTTTTTTCTTCAGACAAATTTCGACTTTTTAACTAGCCATTTTTGACAGAATTTTTTTTTATATCATTCAAAAGCTACTGTTGTCTTGAGCTTAAATTTGAAAATATATTTTACCTGTGATCATTTTTCATAAAGTTATGTGGGTTGAAACATACAAAAAATTCAAAGTGAAAACATTGACAAATATTTGGGGAAAAAATTCAAAAATCTGCAAAGGGAAAATTTTAGTAGGTAGGCGTATTCTAATGAAAAGACTTTCTGAGTTGTTACAGTTCAATTTTAAACGCATTGATTAGTTGCTTACGCGTAGTTTAAATGAACGCCTGAACGCAGAAACAAAACTTGTTTCAAAGTGTTTTTGGTGTTTTACAAAAAAAAAAAAAAATTTTTCAGTGTCAATTTTAAATGTTCTAGTGACATGGGTTCAATGCACTGGAACGCAACCCGCAGTAGATCAAACACCAATGCCACACTGGGATTCGCTAATCTTCTCGATGCCTAGCAGCTATCTCCCAATTGGAAAGGATTGCAAGAAATATAGGTGAACATTTTTTTACTTACAGATAGCGTCTCAATTTTCTGTCTCAATATTTTGAGGTACAAAATACTGAAACACATATACAAAATGGCCTATTCAACGAGACTCCTGGCATCAAGTCCTTGTAGGATCCGAATTTCAATTTGGAACAATTCGGAACAATGATTTGAAAAGATTAATTTTGGTTACGCATTTAAATCACCAAAAACCTCGCGTCAAAAAATCTCTAGCCAATTTCTATGCTCACATATCTTTTTTTTTCAAAATTGGCCTCAGATGCAAGTATTTGGAGACATTGTTTAAGTGACCGCCGGTTTTCAGATGACATAAGAAATTCCGTTCAGAAAAAGGTGGTCTAAAGTCGAATCTGACCTGGAGAAAAAAACCAGCTCGAACACAATTGTTTTGTCACTTTCTTTGAAGTTTGGAGACCCTCGGCAAAACCATTTTTGAATAAAAGGGGCTGATTAGACCTAATTTTTGGTCCCTGACTTGCCGTGTGAGGGGATGACTGAGCCGATTTTTTTTCTAAATATGGGGCTCCTAACTACGCTCCATTGACTCCATTTATTCCGTAATATCTAGGGACCAATCGAAAGAAAAGTTGGACCCATTTACCCCCTTAATGAAAAGTTTTATGCAAAAATTTTTACCCTGTTGTTTTTTTTTTGAAAAGTGATCACAAATAAGCACGAAAAATTTTGCACATGCAGTTTTTGCAAAACCATTGATTCTACCATAGCCTTGTAGATACCATTGAATCTACCATAGATTTCTTACATTAATTGTAATTCCTAATAAAAGAGAACTATTCTGTATTTTTTTAAATATGAAAGTGAATTCTTAATAGGTTTGACGATTTTGTCATGCTGTTTATTGGAAGCATTTTTTGTTTTAGCGACTATTACTGTCTAAACGGATTTTATTCAAACGGTGCAAACACAACAAAAGCCGAAAGTGTGGATCATATTGCCAATACCTCTGTTAAGAAACAGGCTTGGATCGCTGAATTCGAAACCCTAATAAGGATGCATTGGAAGAGCATCAACATGTTTGACCTTTTTCGATTGGACAACCAGGGTTAGTCAGCTGTTTTTTGTAAAGGTCAATGGGAGCGGTAGTGAAGTGGTTACCTCTCCGGCTCTCAATCGAAAGGTCGGATGTTCGAGGCCCACCGGGATCCGTGCTCGTTGCTTGATCCTGAGTCACTACGACTCAACCCAAAAAGCCATCAAAAATATATTTTTTTAAATGGCCAATAGCATGTCTATTTTAACCAGGAGCACAATAGCGCTTCTCCGTGATGAGCTGAACAGTTCGTATGATAGACTTCTCCCTCAAACCGTTCTAATAACTTATTTAATTATGTTTTGTATGTTATAGACAAACTTTCACTCTATAGCCATGGCTTTCAACTTGAATGCCATCCTTAGTTTCGTTTTGAATTTCTTGTTTCATTCTTCATTTTTTATGAACGTTATGTAACCTTTTTCCAAAAAAATAAAATATGAGTTTTTTCGATTTTTTTTTCTGATAAATACCTTGAATTTGATGCGTTTTGTATTGGATGCGGTAATATTGGGTACATTGAAATAACACCATTTTTACTGGTCTTTGAACAAGTTTTGTTTGCTTAATCATTTTATACACAATAACAAACAAAAGAACGAACAATAAACTTCAAAAGTTTTAATTAATAACCATGAATATCCCATTGCGGTAATTGCGAATCAAATTGATTTACGGCATTAGGGACGTCTTGTATCCCATCACTAGATTTCAAATAGGTCGCTGATTTTTCACGACATAATATACATTTGCTATGAAATTTGATTACCCAATAAAAAATATCTTTACCCTAAAAAAAATATTTTTTACCCTAAAAAATATAGCTTTGCTATTTTTGCAAACTTTTTGGTAAAGTTAACGTGTGCCTCAAATTATTTACAATACATGGTCCAAAGATGTGTCGTTTGGTCGGGTTATCACACATTGTAAAAAAATGGATTAAAACTATTGCGTGTGGGTTCTTTTTTTTGTATGGGGATTGAGTTCAAGTATGTGATTAGACGACTGCTGCACTAGCCAAGTGCAGAAATACATAAAATTTGGCTTCCAAAATGGATGGACGGCCACTCCGCGATTCTATATGGACAAGCTCACAGACTATACATCTGAAAACAAACAACTAACTTATCTCAAGGTATGTACATAGTATTTCTGTTTCAAGCCCTCTCTTCGACTCTTTCGGCCAGATATATACCTGGTTGTTTTGGTACCTGACTTCGTAAGAAAAGGTAAAAAAGTAATAATAAAAAACTAAAACACCTTAAGAAAAAGTTTCTTTATATCTTCAGTAATCGAATCGAAGTTTACAAAAGCCGAATAAAGTCGAGTTTTTCTCAACTTTCAGTGGTCGAAACCAGATCTGAAATTTTTAAATAGTTTTCGTGTTTCAGCTGTTTCACGTTCGTGAACTATGCGTGAATGTAATTCTTGAAATTGGATTCGGACACGGGCAGCGGATTATTCAATGGCATGGGACAGCATATCGCTGGTCAGAGTTTGCGGTCTTAATTTTAGACGACAAGAATGAAACACAGAATCAGATTTATGTTCACTATGTTAACCAAAACAACCCGCTCTCTTTTGATTGGTTTAAACATAACGTTATCTGTAAGGATCAAATGTGGATATGTAATAACCGAACAAAAGACAAAAAGGAACGTGGATCTGTTTCGGCAGACAAAGCCAAATCTCAGCCAGGCGGAGAATTAGGAAAACAAGAAAACTCGCGAGAACAAGCCGAACTCTCAGATGAGAAGCAAAGTAAATCGGCAGAAGATGTTATAGCTTATCAAGGAAACACGGATCTTGATTTGAAACAGTATGATAATTGGGAAGATAGAGAAATTGGGGAGAGTTCGAGAGCAGCCGAATTAAGAGCCGAAAAAGAAAAAGAGTTCGGAAAGAAGCCTGGTGAAGCGCAGAAAGAAGAAGAACAAAGAAAGAAAAAAGAAGCAGGTCAGAAGACTAAAGAAGCGCTAGGGAAAAACATCGAGGAAGCGAAGAAGAAAGAAAATGAGCAGAAAAAGAAACTTCAAGCCAAGAAAAAGAAAAATCTGATCAGATCCAGTGCACCAGAAACGAGTCTGGATTACATGGGCAACGATTACGTAATAAATAGCAAATACGGAATAGATGAAGAAGCAAAAAAGCTGGAAAAAGTATGGAACCGACAGTTATACACTGAGAAGATCAACTCGGCGAAAAACAAAAGAGAGATGGAAATAGCGGAAAAAATCAGGAAACAGCAAGAAAACCAAACAAATGATGAAGAGAAGAAAGAAAAGACGAGAAATGAATCATTGGAAAGCGCAAACGAAGCCAGACAAAATAGAGAGATGAAATTTGAAAAAACTAAGGAAAAAATCCTGGAAAAGGTGAAAAAACTCCAGGAAGCTGGCGAAGAAACAAAAGCCAGAGAGCTGTTAAGACAATTATCAAAATTGGAAAAAAAAGCTTACCACGAAAAACATTTACACCACAAAATGCATAATAAGTCGAGGGCAAAAACAACCCCAAACCATCAGAAAAACAAAACCGAGGCTGAAAACAAAAAATCAAACACGAAAAAAGCTGAAAATACATCAAAAACAAAATCTAAAAGTTACGCAAAAAAGCAAACCGAAAAAAAGGAACAGAAGAAAAAAGTCAAAAAATCTACACAGAAGAATGCAAAACCAAATCAGTCGGAAAGTGAGAAAACAGAAAAAGAGTCAGAACAGCGTTCGTGGAAATCTGTAGTAGCAAATTCTCGAACTCTGTAAAATTCGTGCAAAACTCGAATAACTTAACTGTTTTCTTTATGTATAAGAAAAAATAATAACATTCAAATCTATCAATATTAATTTTTTTTATAGAATTAATTATATATCTGGACTTTTTTCCAACAAAGTTTTTTTTGTCAAAAGCACGACAAAATTGTGCGAACAATTTTTGTTAGTTCGATGTCTGTTGTGGACGCCTGAAACTCCCTCAAATAATTCATCCCGCAGTGACAAAATGGATAAACTCAATTATTTACAACCTTATCTACAGATTGACCTAAGTATAGAATCGAGCTATCTACAACCGTTTTGCAAACGATACTTGCTTCAAAACAGGTTTAAAAAATTACGCCATAATTGAATGGTTTTTAGTGCCAAAATATTCAGTTTTTTCTGCATATAGTCAGTTGTTATTACAATAAAACCAAAAAATAATCTGTAGACAAAAAAGTAATTAGGCAGGGTGGGGGATAGTCCGCGAATGGTGATTTTTTTAACCATGGAGATGGTAAAAAAACAACAGTTAAATAAAATATTAAGCTGCCAAACTGAATTGTAGAGCAAAATAAATGTATAGAATCTTATGTGTAAAATTTAATCTTATGAAACGTAATCCGTACCCACTGCACTAAACAGGAAGTGAGATAATTTCCAAAATTTGCAAAATTCACAAAATAACCTCTGAAATAATCCATTATAATCGATTACAATCGATTATATTGTATTATAGTGAATAAAAATATTATGCTTATAATCTATTTTGATGAATTAGAATCGATTATAATTAATTATAATGTTTTTATTAAAATAAAAAATATTAGGGTTTTTAATCTATTTTAAAGGATTTTAAAGGATTACTTTTGTAATTTTATGAATACTGACTGTAAAATAACAATATAATTGATTATGATCAATGAAACACCAGTGAGGGCCCGGTCGTTGCGCAAGCCAAGAGCAATAAAGTTAGGATCACTTAGGTTGAAAAAATTCATTTCAGTCGAAGATTTCAGTCGAACATTTCAGGCGATGGAACGATTACTTGACCTTTTATGCATCTATGGGCTTTGGTTTTTTACCGGTTGAATTTATACGCCAAATAGCATGTTTGATAACCCTATACAAAAAGCGAACGAAAAAAATTCATTTGATACTCATATACAGAAATTGTATTATGAAATTTTTCTGAAATAATTTTTTCCACGAAGATTTTCAGAGGTTGTCGCGCACAAACTCTCTGTCACCTTCTTCAAAAATAGTAACTAGAGCAGCATATCGGGAGAGTTTGAATATTTTTAGATCTTTTCAACCGAGGTTTTAGCCTGGTTTCAGACAAATTTACTAAAAAACAAAAAAAAAGAAGATTAGTTCTTCATCACTGAGAATATACTGTCACCAATTCTATAAGTTGTAAAATCTTTCGAAAAACTCAAACAATTAAAGCAAAAGACATCATTTTTGAATTTTTTTTTGAATTTTGTCTAAACTTTTTGTTGTGAAGGGCAAATGAAAGCTCAAAAACTGCAGAACGAGAGACATAATTACTTTTTCGCAGTCAACATAATTACTTAAACTTTGTCTGAGAAGTCGATAATGAAAACCAAATTTTCTCGACAATTGAACATTTAGAACAATTTTTGAACTCTGAGCATGAAAAAAAAACGCTCAGCCAATTTTCACTTCTTTCGAGAAATAATAGCAGCAACAAAGGTGAGATCTTGTACGGCAGGAAATTTTTTTGAAGTTTGCGTTCAAATATATTCTAAATGCGATGTTTCTACTGTCGCTAGCCGATCAATCAGAAAAAAAATAATCAAGCTTCTGTTAATAAAAAGTGTTCAACACTCGATCCGAACAGACTCGTTGAACTCTCAAACTGAACAAAATCGAAAACTTTCCTCAAAATTTTTTTTCTTAGAAACATTATTGAAACTTCCGACAAAAGAAAATAATCAAGTTAAAAAAAAATTCTTTACTTGGTTGAACTGACATATTAAGTGTTTCCCACAGTGACAAAAATGGATGAAAATTGATCTTATAAGGAAAAATCTACAGGTTAACCTATAAATAAAAACGATTTATCTACAACATTTTTGCGAACGATAATAAATTCTATACAAATAAAAGTGAATGGATTTAGTGACAAAATGAAAAACTTTAAAGTGTATAAAACAAGTGTATAAACTTTAAATAATCTGTATATAAAAAGAAGATTATCTGTGTAAAAATAAACTGAATATAACCTAGAGGTAATCAGTTAATGGTCTGTAGTTAATCAGTAGATAATCTGTGGATAATCTGGAGATAATATGTGGATAATCTGTTTTTATTCTCCTTATAATCATTAGAAAATATCTATATAATCTGTACAAAATTGATTGTGAAAGGCTAAGAAAAACGATTTTTATCGCCTTAAAGTGAGTTTTGATACTCTAAGAAACAGGTTTTCTGAAAACAAGAATACAAGTTTGATTTCATGTTAAGCAAAATCTATCAGATTTTGAGCCAACACAAATTATAACATTAAATAGAAACACAAAACCTCTTGAATTCTACCTCAACCCTCTATGAAAACAAGTAAAATATCATCACCCTATAGAGAAATGAAGAAAAACTAACGTGAAGTATATGCAGAGTTTGTTCTGATTAACGAAACTAATCACCTTTTTAATAAAAGAAAAATAGCTAAAGAGATCCGAAAAACTGAAATCTGAAAATCGATGATTTCGAAACAAGTTTTTTCGCACTGAAACATTTACGGCTGAAGTAATGAAGCACTCAAACAGACCAGCAAATACACCCTGACGAAGACTTTAACTGCGACAGTGACATAAACAGCATAACAAATTTTGAGTATATTTAAAAATCAAACAACAAAAGACAAGGCAAACTGATTGCCTACACCGCTCAGCTGAAATGAAGCCTCAAAAGCGCAGCAAAAGAGCTGCCTTAACCTTAAAACCAAATTGAACAAAAAGCTACTTGGGCTGAGCAAGAAAAGCAAAAAAAAACCTAAGCCACCTTCTCGGGTAAGGGCAAACATACACACCTGAGGCTGAAGAGCACACAGAGAATCAGCTACGATAACAAGGACGACTTCAACTCCGCAAGTGGACTGAGCAGCTTAAAAAAATCAATACAAGTCAAAATATATCACTCATTACAACACAAGACAAACAATGCTCGAGCAAATGCATATTTTCTTAGCCCCCTCAGCTAAAGAAGCCTCAAAAATGAAAAAAAAAGCAACCTTAAACCTAAAACCAAAAAAAAACACCTGGCTTGAGCAAGTAACGCAAAAACAAAACTGAGGCATTATAAGTAGATGGACAAACATAAACATGAGGCTGAAGAGACGCTCGAAGAAGACTACATTTGTATCAGACAGCATACACAGAACCAACTACGCACAACCAGGACGACTTTAACCAATTTTTTTTGTTTTCAATTATTTCGTTATATTATAACCATTTTTTAATGGATGAAAAAAACGAGAAAAATCATATTCTGAAATCAAAGACTTGGTTTCTTCACTTTACTTTTTTTAATCCAGCGCTTAGCTCATTAATTGCAAAAAATGGTGCAATAATCAGCTCAGCAATTTTTCTGACAAAGTTCAGCCATGGCATACGTGCCTCATTTTCTCCAAAAAATTAATTTAAAAAGAGATAGTTTTAAAGCCTCCATTTAACAAAACCATTTAAGTGTAATGATAGTTGCTTAAAAACTATAGCGGAACGTTTTGAGGATGTTGTATATCCTGAAATATGTAGTTTTTAAATCAGTTTGATTTATCAAAGCTGAGCAAACCTACCAGGGCACTTAATAAATGGGTTTTCAGTTTTGGTTTTACAAAAAGGTATTTAAATTAGTGTTCTTGCAGCCCAGAAAATCTGAAGAAGAGTGTTTAATGACGCAACGTTACGACGTCACGCAGTTACCAAGTTTGTTTTTTGGATTCTACGAAGATGGTACTGTATTTTTGCGAATGTTGAAATGAAATCCTCAAACGAAAAAATATGAAAAGATCTGAAGCCGAAACATGAGTGCAACAAAGTTAGACGATTTTTGGCTAGCGAGCAAGAGTCTGGATTCTAACCATAATGAGGATTTTAGAGACAAGTGCTAATCAAAGCTTTTTAGGATTCCAGGAACAAACGCGATTTTTTAAAGAATCGAATTGCAAAATTCGCTGGACTTCAGACTTCCTCAGTGCATTCTGTAACCAATCCATTATAAGCACATGAAGCTGATGTTGCTCCTTGCATATATTTTTGTTTTTAGTTAAGCTGAATTTTTAAAAACGTGTTCAATTTTTCAGGTAAGTTTTGTTTCCTTCGAGCGCTGTAACTTTTTTGAATCAAAAAGCCATTTTTTTCAGAAAAAGATTCATATATTTTCAGTTTCTTGGAAGTTTTCAATAAGTGCTTTTTTTGCAAAACAAATTTAATTTTAAAAACAAATTTATGAAATTTACTAAAAAGTAGGTAGCAAATTGAAACAAGACTGCTCGTATCAGGGCGAAGCCCTGAATGTTCCGACTGCCTTTTAAGGTTTATGGAGCAGCAGTAATAACATTAAAAAAATTAAGTGAAATAAAATAAAATGAAATTTTTTTCTTCTAAAATTTGAAGTTTTTATGAAAATCATCTCCCCACACGCCATTTAAAGTACAAAAGGATAGATTTCGTTCCTTGTAACAAATCAATTATGGCAAATGAGCTTCGTTCAACCAATTTGTGACGATTTATAAGAAGGATTAAATCTCCGCTTACACGTTAATAGCGCGAAGTATATCGCGCGTTAATTGTCCCAAAGTAGTCAAAATGGCTTAAATGGCAATCTTTAAACCCTCATAACTTTATGAAAAATCATCACAGGTGAAATATCTTTTCAAATTTAAACTCAAGACAACAATACCTTTTCAATGATATAAAAAAACCGTCAAAAATTGATAGTTAAAAAGTCGAAATTTGTCTGAAGAAAAAAAAACCCACCCCGAGCA